ATTTGAAGCCGGCTTCAACGGGGCTGCCAACGCGGTTCCCCAATATTGGGACGGTGTTTGAACGGCATGTTGAAGCCAATTTGAAGACTGGGGCTCAGCTTCTGAGTGCCTCCATGTGGGCTGCTAACTTTCATTCGTTTCCTTACTTGCTTGGAATCCTTTTCTGCTCCCTGCTTGATTTTCTGCTTTCCTCAAGGCTTGCTATTTTGGTTGTCTGAAGGGGGTTTCTCGGGTATTACAAAACAGTTTAAAAACAGTTATGGTACTGACTGTGATAGTTTTGAAATAATGAGCCCTGCTCCGTGAGTTTTAGTCATATATCATTCAAGGCACATTTCTCAAGTGAGGGGTCTTGGGGGGGCTCTGGGATGTCAAAGTCGGCGAGCCAGGAGCTTTTCCCAAAAGACTTCTTTCACGCGTTTAGGACTTTCGGACGGAACTCGTATCATGAACCATACCATAGAAACGCGTAGTATTTGGGTTCAACCCAAACACAGTAACAGTCCCTAAAAGGAGTTCTTTTAGTAATACGAGGGCCTTATTATAACCACCTTAGGACACTGTTACTGTATCTGGGCTGAACCCAACGTACTATAGCCATTTAAGAACAATGACCATGTATTTGCCACTGGGTGCCTCCAAAGCACTTGGCCCAAGCTGGTACAAATCCGGCCCGTGTTCCAAGGCTTTGCTGCGTCCTGCAGGTGCAGGGGGGCACCCACAATTTCTGGAAGCTGTCACGCACAGCTGGGAGCGTCCAAACATCAGGGGCCCTACTTTAGACCCCAAATAGTAAGGCCGCTTTCATTTAGGGACACCCACAAAGAAAACGGCCTCTCATTTATTGATAAAGCAAGCATATAGTTCCTATAAGGATCAACTCTAAACCTGCCGTTTAAAGGAGCCCTAAACCCCGAGAAACAGCCAAAAAGATAGTTGGTTTGATCTGCCTCAGACAAAGTATTTAGGACCATTATACCTGATATATAACCTTAAACCATCCCCTTTTAGACTTCCCTCTTCTTCAGTCCCCACCTGAGGCTGCTCTAAAAAGGTACTTATACTATACTACACTACACTATACTATACTATACAAATGCTAGATACTACATACTATATACTATATATCATATACTATCTACTACATTATGCTATATTATGTTACACTGAATATTGTAGCATGTTATGCTATTACTATAGTATATTATTGTATTGAAAAATATTTATATTGTAGTATACGATACTATAGTATAGTATTTTACATCGAATAATATAATGTATTTATATATTACATTTCACTATTTTAGAATATATTGTATCATATTATACTATACTATACTATACTATACTATATTATATTATATTATGCTATACTCTACCATGGCAGCTTCGAGAAGGAGCCCCATCCTCCATGCGCTTTGCGGCAATGATGCCAGGGCCTTTGAGCAGAGCCTCCGAGCAGGACAACAGGCTTCTATTGGACTGTGCTGTGGCTGCGCTGTCAAGCTACAAAACGACATATGTTTGTATGTTTGTATATGTTTATATGTGTACATGTGTATATATATATATATATATATATGTATATATGTGTATACACATACTATATAAAACAAGACAAGACAACAAAAGAGATCATACATTCTTGTCCGTTTGGCGTTCAAAGCTTCCAAGGCATACCCCAACTGCATGTGCTGAATGCCGAGGTTGACCCCTTTCCACTTCCGCGTGCACTGGTGCCTGCCTGAGGTGGAATAGGCGCCTAGCCCAAACCACGTCGCAAATGATTTTACTGACTCCAATCGCAGATCTTGGAGCGTGCATGTTGTTCCATCTGGACACTCATTGCTGAGGCTGATTGCGCGTCAGATTCTGGCCAACAGGATCTCCTGTAGCGCCCTACACCTTCAGGCTTCGTACTACAGCTCGAGATGGCCAGTGGCGGAAACAAGAGGCACAGCAGGCATGACGCAGCATTTGGTCCGAAAGGTTTCACTGGTCCCCTGGAGCCTCTCTGCGAGGACAGGCACAGACGGTGTCAATGTGAACAAATCCATCCGTCCAGCTGTGACTGCATTGACCCGGTGCTGTTGTTATCATTAAGCAACAAAGCCGCTCTGGGAGACCCCAACCAAAAGGCAAGGAAGCCTTCTCCAGGCGAGATTTTTCATGCAGCAGCAGCTACTCGCAGATCAGATTTTGCTTATCAGTGCCCAGCATTGCTGTGAGATCTCCACATGACAAGCACAGCGCGTGGGTTTCAAGAAACTTCCACCTGAAGATCTTCCTATGCATGGATGGGGCTGGTACTACGGCCCGGTGGGATGCTTTTTGTGCTTGTCAAGACTTGTACGAGCCAAGAGAGGTGAAATCTTCAGATCAATCTGTTTTCCCTAGGCTGCTAAACACGTGGAATCAACAAGGATCTTGTACAGAACATGGAAAAGACAACATATTCCAAGTGCTGAAGAATAAGCGCAGACTTGCGCAAAGATTTCATGAGAAGAAGTGGTGACAATACATCAATCGACAAACTGCGAGGTCGCAGGCGGGCCTCCATGCTGGAGCCTGGCTCAGCGCTTTGCCCACCCGCCCACGACCGGCGCCCGACCTGATGCACCTAGCGTTGAAGCGGCGCCTCCCTTTGCCGCTCCGCCGGACGTCGTCTGCCCGCGGGGACTTCTGGCAAAGCGTGGGTTTGTGATTCAGCGAACGTGGATCCAAGTGGTGGTTTGCCCTTTAACTTCGGTCCAAGCAAGCTATGTCAGGGTTGGCTTGAATTGTAGACTCGACCCCTTGGTTCAGTCCATTAACCTAGCCCAGGCCGCACCTAGGTGGTTTCGGACGAAATGTGAAGCATGTCCTTCCCGTGCAGAGCGAGCAGGCCGGATCCTGAGAGCTTGACGGCGTCTGCCCAGACAGTGGCCGGCCTTGACCAATCCGCTGTGTCGGCAGCTTCCCAGCTGTCATCGGTTGTTGGTTGAAGGTGGTGGCGCCACGTGGGCCCCACCCTGCAGAAGACTTGTGGGCGGCCCGCAGCGCCGCCTTCCTAAGGCCAACCTGACAGGGTTCTGATTGCCCCAAGCCCCACCCTCTCGCGACATATTGCGTCCTCAGCGGTGTGCAAGTTGATGGGTAGGGTCCAAAGTTTGCCGACCAGCAAACCGCATCTTGTGCGTTCCACCTCATGCCTGAAGCCTGCAGACTGTACACCGACATCCCATCTCGGAATCTTATCGGCGCGCTATCCGTTTCCCGTCCACATTCAGCAAAGCAGCACATCTTGGCGCGCAGCGGCCTAAACTGGGAGGACCTTTAGACTCCACAGTTTGCGTTGCTGTCGGTAAATCAAGAGCAGATGTGCACAGACGCTGGCAACCGAAGATTTCTCCTCATCCCTAGCTATAGGTATTATGGCAGGCTCTTCCGGCAGAGTGCATTTCCAGGAGGTGGCCTGGGCCTAACGCCTGCTGTGCAAGGCCGCAGGTTCCTCACATGTTCGAGACTGATCCTAAAGCCTCCAAAGCAATATGTTGCCAAGAGTGGCCGACTTGGTGCCACTGCGAGACAGACCCTGCTTGGGCGCAGAGTGCGCATGTACAGGCCTGAGAGTCATGGCTTCAGAAGCGTGGCCCGGGCTTTGGGACTCCGTGCCTGCAGGAGCTTCTTCTTTCCTGCCAGCAGGCCATCGAAAACGACAGCAGATCGCCTGCTGAAGAAGGAAGTCTTGCGTTTCTTCATGCCATCAGCGTACACTGCTGGTCTCCTAGATGGGTTCTGTAACAAGGGGAGTCTGCAACTCTGTATCCACTAAGCCTTGTCTCTTGAAGCCCCCTGAGTTGCAGAGCCCTTCAGCTAACCCTGAGACTACCTGCGGCCTCGGTGCGTGGCCGAACGCGCGTCCGGCATCAGCCTGTAGGTCTAAGTCGACCTGGCATAGTCAGACCCCCTCTCCCTCTCTGGGAGGTCACCTGCGTGCGCAAACGTGGGAGTTTCCAAAAATCAGAGTCAGAGACCTTAAAACAGACCCGACAAATAGAAGGGTTCTTATCATAAGGACACCCACAACAAGGACCCTCAATCTCTAGAAACAGCCACATAATCTTCCATTCTGGTCATCCTTCAACATTCTTGGGACACGCAAGCATCCATAATTTGGGTTTTCTAGGATCGGAGCCTGGTGCCTGGCGTGGGCAACTTGGACTTGACAATGGACTGGCATTAATTTTGGAACGGGAAGCCGGGGCCAAAGCCGTGTGTCTAGCGACCGTCCCGATGCACCGGCGCAGCAGTAGCTTGCACTGCCTTATCTTTGCAGGTGGGCGGCAAGCAAGTGTTTGCGAGCAAGCATCTTTACCCCAAGCTCTGGCAGCTTCAGCCAAGGTCTGCAAAAGACGCGCAGGAGACGCAGTCAAAACTCTGGCCGAGCATCGTAATGACCCCCTTGCACCCATGTAGACTTGCGAGCTTTGGATGTTTGGAGTGCACAGCTTAGGCTGCGAGGCAGGCCAACTTCATAGAAGGCGCAGCTGTTGCCGTCGTTCGCTGTGGAAAGGTTTCGGCTCGTGCATCCACATGGGCTCCTCCTGCTCCCCACATTCTTGGTTGGAGGCCAGCGCGACATAACAAGATATAGGCGGCGCTTGAGAGAGGTGCCGTGAGATTTGGTGTGGACTCAGAGCGTCTTACCGCCACATTGGCCAGCATACAAGACTGCCAGGATATGCCGGCGCTTGCCGCAAACCTGCGCCTCTGAAGCAGCCTGCGAGTGTCGGGAACCTCTTAAAGCTGTGACGAGCAGGGCGCGGGCGCCCCACAGTGCAGGACGCTGGGCAGGTGGAGCTTGCGGGCTGACTCATCGCTTGGCCGTAAGACGGTAGAGTCCGGGGCATCCGTGAACGATGAAGTTTTGTTGTAGCTGACTGAGCAGTCTGTGGCGCAAAGCTCGTTGAGCGGTTCGAGCAGATTTCCTCTATCCCTCCCATTAGAATCCGGCCTGTCCATGTGCCCGCTACGGCCTGTGTGGGGTGGGGGGCTGTGGGGAGGACACAGCAGGTTGAATGGTATAGGCCACTGTAGGCCCAAGACCGTGGAGAGCCGTATGCATTCTGGCTGCAGTTGACAGCCTGTTCTCCATTGGCGTCACCTGAGCGAAGGCCAAGGTCTTGTCCTTCCAGGCAGGATGTCCTAGAGAAGCTCTTTGCTAGGAAGAAACATCTACGCCAATTTCCACAATCAAAGATAAGAAACTTCGCTCCATAGCGCCCGCTACTGTTGCGGTCAAACATTCCCTGTAACCGGGCGGTTCTTGAGGGAAAGAGGATGCAACCTTGCAACGCACAAACTGCAAAACCTGAACGCTCAAGAAAATGGACCGCCCTACACATGCTGCTTCCGCTTCGCAGTTGTGGCAAGGCCTTTGCTGCGCTGCACTGCTTGTCGCCTGAAACCGCTGCAATCCTCCGTAGTTGGCACTTGAACTTTGAGACGTACAGAGATCAGTGCAGGTGGCGCCTGGATTGTAAGGCTTGGTGTCTGTTCCGGCGGTTGTCAAGGCACCCCGCAGTCTTGTCCTGGGCGCTTGAGCATGCAGTTGCCAGGGGCGAACTGCTGAGGCAGGCCAACGGCAGGGTACCTTGTCATGCAGCCTTCCGTCGCCCCGCCGCAGCACCCTCACGATACCTTGAGACGACTTTTCAGCTAGAAATGATTTTCGATACTGATCTTAGCGTGGTCCCACCTGAACCTTTTTGTGCAACGTGGCCCTACCCCAGTTCTTCACTTTCGGACGTGGCATCTGTGACAAAGTTGGGCGACCGTAAGCGTGCGTGTTATACACTGTGCAATGCAACTTTATTTGCAACACTGCCTGGCTGCGTACCGCAAAGCAGGCGCCGGCAAACCCCCGTGCCCGACAGAAGTGTCATAGCAAGGCATATTAAGCTGTTGGGAAAACGTATGCATTCATCGTCCCAGTAACACTCAGGAGGATTCGGTAAGCAGCTGAAAGCCCACCAGGTAGCAGTTTTTGGAAACAGTTTCTTGGTTTGCTGGACTCGCAGGCTGCGGAGTCTGGCCATCATTACATCAGACAACCATCTGAGACACACGAGCACGCACTTCGAGCTGTGCAATAATGGTGGACACGAAAAACTGGTTTGTGATGAATCGGCCGCAGTATGAAGGGCCCTTCCACGCTCTTCGATGCACACACTTGCGATGTCTGGCAGGACTCCTCAGCAGTTGACGTTGAGACATTTGACATCTTACATGTTGGGCCAAGCGACTACCACAAAGGCATTATCCTCAGCAGTCATAACTTCAAGCGTTAGCAGGAAAACTCCTGGCGCAACCGACTGGAGGGGCCCGGACGATAGACCACAGCTGTGGCCCTGCCCTACCCCACAGTCTACATGGTGGCATACTGCCAGATCTCTCGCATGACGCACGGCGCCGGCGGTTGTGAGGATGGCCCTGGCACTCACCTGTTCTCGGGAGACTTTTCTGGTCCCTGCCATGTGGCTTTCTCTACTTTCAACTGATAGAGATGCTGGTCAGATATGGATGCTGGCGCCATGCGTGTAAGCCTGCAGCAGTATGATGGTGGTAAGTGTCCACGCAGGAAGACTTTGCTGGACCTTGAGTGGAATGGACGCCCATCTGGTCAGCCCCAAAACTGCAGGCGACTTAATTAATGCAAATGCAACCATGGTCGGATGCGTTCGACTGAGTCCTGGGCGGCCCTGTGGCAGGTCGATGGCCACGGTGCGTACCTGTGGGGGCCTCCCCATTTTCCTCTAAGCATTGGACACTGCACTGGCAGGTTCCCCAAAGCTTGGTGTATCCTGGGGAGTTCGTACTACTGCGCACAGTTGACCGCAAACATATGGTCACCAGTTCATTGGAGCGTGTTCGTGAGCTTTAAGCTCAGCTGAAAAACGTGAGAGTGAGAGCATGCTCAGCACCGCGTCTGCGTCAGCACTTTTGCTCGAAACCTCCAGACAGAAAGCAAGCTCGTGTGCATGGAAATGGTCCCGGCGCAGCTCGAGCGTAAAAATTCCCCACGACGGGGCATGCATACAGCTGCCTGTACTCTCAAGGCTTCAGGGCTTGGCTTGCAGTCTTTGGTTTACGCGCTGCAGTCCTCTTTGTCTCAAGAGTCGTGAAGGGGGGATGCAAGGAAAAATATTTGACCGGAACGACAGCGCTGGAGCAGCTGCTCGGAAGATGAAACCGGATTCAAGTCGCCCCCTTAAAAGCTGCTTAGATGCTCTGTAGGAAAGAAGCGTTTTCTCAAGCCAATTGGCATGCTTCTCACTTGTGGCTCAGCCTTGGCTGCGCTGCACTGCTTGTCGCCTGAAACCGCTGCAATCCTCCATAGTTAGAACTTGAACTTTGAGACGCACAGAGATCAGTGCAGGTGGCGCCTGGATTGTAAGGCTTGGTGTCTGTTCCGGCGGTTGTCAAGGCACCCCGCAGTCTTGTCCTGGGCGCCTGAAGCATGCGGTCGCTGCAAGAGGTTTGGTCGCGACCTCCTGTCGGGAGACATGCTGAGGCAGACCGACGGCAGGGTATCCTGGTCTTGCCTCCGTCGCCACGCCGCAGTGCCTTCACGATGCGTGCGAGGAGCAAGGGCTGCCACGAGCTCGGCGTACCGAGCTTGGAGCTTGCGAGGCTTGCGAGGGCGAGGGCTTCCGTTCTGGCCCTGGCCGGCGACTTGCTGATGCATACTTACCCTGGGGAGTGCGCGGCCCTGCTGATGTGGCTGAAGAGGCGCTCGGTGGCGTCCTCCGCTGATGGGGGTAGAGTCATGGCACTCCAGGGCACGTAAGCTGCATTGGCAGCGGCAGCAAGCAAGGTCTGACGTGAATTGGGTGGCGTATATGTTGCCTGCCTCGGCTTGACCACAAATGGGTGCGCGGAGCATCTCCTTGGGTTTGTCAGCGCCGCGTTTCAGAGGGCAAACGCCCGCGAAGTCTTTTGCTGCATTCCGGAGGTTGGCGAGGAAGGCCGGGCTCCGTTGTCACACCCTTCTTAGACCGTGCGCGGCTCCAGTGCCGCTGACCTGCCGACTCGCGTGGCGCAAGCCCCACATACCGTCGCAGCTAGTGCAGCTAGTGCCAACTCAGCCAGCGCAGATGCAGCGCCTGTTGCCGCAGCAGCCAACGCAGAAGTCCGCAGGACCAGTGGCGCTATCAAAGCTCAGCTCAGACGTTCCTGTTTTTGCTTCCAGCCTTGCTGCGTGTCCATGTAAGCCCGCTTCGGGTGCTTTTATCCACGCAGCATCAGGTACAGCAGCTCTGCCACACCAGGGTCACCACGAACGCTTGCTCGGAGTCGGCTTTGTGTACAGGGTTTTACGGGTGTTTTCATGCTCGGGTTCTATAGTTGAGGCAGGGTGTTTACAGTTTCAGAGGTGCCAACTATTTGCATTTAGAAGACAGGCAGACCGCAACAGGTGATCTAGTGATTTTAGCGTGGTCCCACGCGTTGACCTTTAATAATCTTGTGGCCGTACGCAATTATTCATGTAGTAGTTTCCTGCCAAATGTCCCACGTCTTGCGTGCCGCGGGCTCTGTGGCTGCTCCAACGAAGGTTTTTTTGTGGCAGCTTTCAAAGAACCTGCGGTAGATCCACCAACCAAGTTCGCTGTGACTACGGCCCATCGTCAGCATTCCCGCAGTGGCGTTTTCGCTTGGCATAGAGAAGTTTGTTGCAATCTGCGTCAGGCAGCTGTACATACAGGCAAGCATGATGCAAGTTTAGTTGGCTACAGCTTTCGAGACTGGCCGTCATTTGTCATCACTTTCGCA